CCACGGACGGAAAGGAACTTCGTGTTCGCCTGTGTAGTCGCCGAGAAGCATCCTGAGGCTGGGCAAATGCGGGTCGGTAGATCACAAAAAACAGCTGTGTTGTTTGGGCTCGGACTGATGGTACCAAACCCGGTCAATGTCATTGACTTCCCGGAAACCAACTTACCTTTGGCAGGAAGTTTGGCACCTTTCTTTGGCTTTTTCACTGCCTCAGCATGCGCTGTAGCATTGAATCAACTTTTAGATATTTTTAGTTTCAAAAGAATCTCAAGATGTTGAGAACTTGTTGAAGTCATGGACATGTCTTGAACCCAGTCACCAACTTGATACACATCTTCTTTCTCTGCTGCAATGGCCAACAGCCAGGTCTAAACGCCACAGCTTTGCCATCTTGAAGGCGAGCAAACTTCGGGGCCCCTTTGGTTCTGGCCACAGTGGCCTGACATCAGACTGGATGGGATAACATCTATTGGGGGAACACTATAATTATGATGGTACTAGAGGGTAAGAAAGAAGAAAATTCAAGAAATATAGTGGCCTTCACTGGCTTCTTCACTGGCTTTCTCATCGATTGGTCGGGCTCGCAACTCAGCAAGTGAACAATGAGTAATATATGTACAATCAAATATGTTTGAAATTCGTTTTCATGAAACATTTTTTCTCTTCATGGCAACTATGTTGAAACTGATTTGAATCCAATGCGAAAGTATGTTGAGGCTTTGGCTCGCTCAGGTCAGCGATGTCAGCAAGAGGCATTGTAGGACTTTTGGGGCTTGAGGGAAAAAAACTGGCATAAGCTGACTCAATTCAACTGTTCCCACTGCAGTCGCAGACAACACTGCAATGTCATGTCCATGGAAATCTTCAGGTTTGTTTTTGAAATTTTATACCAGAGAACGAATGAGCCCATGGGCACTGGAGTCTCCTTTTCCCCTGTTGCACGTGGCTATCAGGACCACAGTCTACATGTGACTCTGGTGAGATCTGCTCATATCTGGTGAGTCCTGGCGGCCAGGGCAAGATGTCTCTAAATAAATGAGAAATGTCATGAAGTCGCATGAAGTTTTGATGTCTCATGCTCAAGAAAGCAAACTTCGTCCAGTTTCTGGTTTGATCCAATTTGTAATGGTTCAAAGCTTGACAGACTGAGATTTCTGGGAGGCCAGCAGGAAAGCAAATTAGTAGCGGGCCATTCGCAGATGCCTGTCTATCCTTATTCTGGAGTGCTCTGGATTGCTTTCAGGATTCTTCCTCTTAATGATGTCATGGCTACTTTGCAAAACTAGTAGATGTTCTTTGCACTGGGCCCCGAACTCATCAAGAAAAGATTGCAGCAGCCGGGCTCTCCTGATTAATCATGATATGGCAACATGATGTTTGAATTGCAAAGCAGACATGACACCAGTCCTTCGCAAGGTTTCTGGCGACATCTGATCAAATTCATCTCCCACAGGAGTATCATCTCGTTGAGTCCTGGATTGAAAATAGAAATATGGTCCACAAGAGTATCTGATCAAATTCATCTTCCTTAGACCCGGATCTGCTCAGTAGCAGTGGTGCGCTAAGTGCGATACAGCGGAGACCAATCGCGAATTGCGTTCTGGCCACAGTTGCAAACAGAAATCGCACGAACATGCAGTTGGAAAACAAGCTTGATACCGACCTGACGACGAAACTCTTGGGAATCAGATTCAGATGGCCGTTCCTCAAATCAGATTGCACAACCATTTTTACACCACATTGTTGTCTCCAAAGTTTCTCATTTGATTGATTCTGAGATCGACTGAACTGGGGATCCATACTTCACCTTCTCGTCTTGTCGGTGTCCGGGATCGAGATCTGTTTGTATCCTCGAAGTCAAGATGATGATCGTAAGTTAAGAAGTTAAGAAGCATAGAATGCAAAGATAAATCATTGTCCTCCTGGTTTGACATCCGAAACCTCACATAGCAAAGAAATACAATCCATACAGTATATATTGTAAAACTATATTGATATATAATATAAGTATGGCCCAGTATGGCTGATGTCGCAGCATGCACTGGGGTGCGAACACTGTCAAGTCAAGGTCAAGCCCCAAAGCCTGCTTAATAGAGGAACAATGAGTCAATTGGGAATGGGAAACCGACAATATCCAATCACACGCTAAGGCCCCTGGCCACGGTTTGAAGTCGCACCCAACGCTGGTCTGGTGGCCTGGCATTTTGATCAGCGGTGGTGAAAGGTTTCCTGGGACCTGTTGCATTCAAAATTGAAATCAAACTGTCAATCCAATAGTTGTCTGGCCTCATGCCCGGGCACTACGCTCAGCCGGCAACGGTTTGAGAAAAATGGGGCATCCACCAATCCACAAAGATCCACAACGTGTGAAATTTCCATGAACTGTTGTTCCCAAGATTTTTTGATACCAATTTGAATTCAAATTCCAAATACAAATCGAAAACCAAATTCTGTCGAAAACATTGGAAAACTCATGTTTTTTTGACTGGGTTGTGATTCCCGAAGAAGAACTCAGGGCTGAACGCTTTGCAGATGCAGCTGCATGTGTGGCCTGATGGGCACATTCATTTGCATGGCAATGCCAATCCCTATTCAACATATAATCTGTTAAAAAATGATAATGAAGCATCTATACATGCCCTACCTTTGCATTGCTCTAATATTATCACCTCTACAACCAATTCTGTGCAGCAAGTGGCAACTACCTCGCCTCTTTTCTGAGGTCATCCTCTTCCATGCCAAAACCTTTGGCAGCAGTGCGGTGGGGTTGACTGGGGAAGGTGGCTCAAACTGAAACATCTTCAAAAAAGTTGAAATTAAATCCTTTGGCCAAAATCAAAACCAAAATTCTCGACTCTGGGGCCCCTAGCGTTTTGTTGTTTTTTTTTGTTTGAGCCACCAAACCCAGCACCCGACAGACGGCCAGCAGGTGATCCCGACCTCTCCCAAAATATGTCTAGTGAAAATTACCGAATGTTTACTATGTGGATGTACCGAATATTTACTATGTGGATGTACCGAATGTTTACTATGTTGCTATGACATTATGTGGATGTACCGAATGTTTACTATGTGGATGAGGCACCACCCGAAAGGAAAACAATGGATCGGAAAAAACCTTCATGTGAACGGGTGAATGATGTGGGTTTATTCCATTTGCCATGATTCCCCTAAACCACATAGATTTAATCTCTAACTCTATCCGATCTTTATTCCCCGATCTATTCACCTGATAAAATCACGAAAATCCCACACACACACACTCACATATATACATATCAAGTTAAAATATGTAATTAGAAAGATAGATCCACATAGATAGAGAGAGAGAGAGAGATAGATAGATAGATAGATAGATAGAGAAATAGGTAGAGATAGATAGATAGAGATAGAAAGATAGAAAGTTAGACAGATAGACAGACAGATAGAAAGAGATAGATAGAGAGAGAGAGAGATAGAGAGATAGAGAGATAGAAAGACAGATAGACAGGCAGATAGATAGATAGATAGATAGAAAGATAGATAGTTAGGTAGATAGATAGGTAGATAGATAGATAGATAGAAAAAGAAAAAGATATAGACTATCATACTTAGAAACTTTTATACTTAGAAAGCACCATGGTACTTAGAACCTTTTTTCTTCTCGGCTCAAGTCCACCAAACAAGATGAACAAGAGTATCAGGTAGTCACCTACCTAGCCAGCTACCTTTCCCTTGCTGCAAACAAGATGAACAAGAGCATCAGGTAGCTAACTACCTAGCCAGCTAGCTTCTTCCTTGCTGTACTGCAAACCCCTGGTTACATAGCAAAACCCTGGTTACCAGGAACCAGAACTAGGACTGAGTTATTCAGAACCTTGATTTTGAGCCGCTTTTGTTACGGCACTGAGTCTTGGACTTTCGGAGATGCCCGTAGTCGACACCATGTACATGCGGCCCTGATTCGACTATTCCGACGTCTGCTTCGTCTTCGCCCAGAAGAGCACTGGTCCGATGACGATATTCTTGCAGCCACAGGACTTTCAAGCCCAACAGAGCTTCTTCGACTTGCTCGTCTGCGGTATCTGGGCACTCTGTACAGATGCAGAGACGTTGTGCCATGGGGGTTACTCAATGCAGACGAGGCTTGGACTACGCTTGTTGCTGACGACCTGAGATGGATGTGGCACCAGCTACAGGGAGCGTCTTCGCTGCCAGACCCGAGCCAGCACTTTCCTGCATGGGAAGAGCTATGGGCTTATCATCCTTCTTACTGGAAACGTCTGGTTAAGCGCGCGAGCATCCATGCCATCCATCAACGAGGCAATCAAAACAGAGTTCTGGGCTTTCATCGCAGATTGGTCGGTCTTTTTCGAGAAGTTGCTGGAGAATCAGTGCACTTTCCGCAGCACATGCATAATCAAGATGAGTGCGCAAGCCATGGTGCTCAACCTCACGCCTGCATGTCTTGCAAAATGACCTTCAAAAGCAAGGGAGGCATTGGTGCTCACCTGTTCAAGGCCCATCGAGTTGTCGCAAAGGTGCGCCTTCTTTTTGACCAGACATGTTGCGGAGCATGTTTGCGGGAATTTCACACTATGAGCAAATTAAAAAATCATCTTCTACGTGATCAAGGATGCCGAGAAGAATTGTGGGGTCGGCGGCGTTTGGTTCGACCTGAGCAGGGTAGTGGCTCCATTGGAGACACTCAACGAGAACTTGCACATGATGGCATTCTTCCCCCTCTGCAAGGTGCTGGTCCCAAATTGCAGGTGCAACACCGCGAAGCAGTCCCTGAACATGACCTTGAGCTTGCCGAGAACATTTACCTTGGCCTCATTGAAGCTGAGGGACAAGGCCCGGCCAAGGAGGTGATCCAGGCGATTGTTCACCGACACCCTGTGTCTTGGGAGTGCTGCAGAGCTTCGCTACGCTATTTGCACGACGAGCTCACCATTGCGGATATTGAGCACATGCCGATTCAGGACATTGACATCAAGCGGTTGCTTCTGGAACTTTGTTCACCGGATGAGTGGGCCTTTCTTCAGACGCACCCTGATGGACCCTGTGAGCCCGAGCGTGCTGCTACGCTTGCGGACATTGAACAGCAGTGCATTGAGAGAGCGGCGCATTGCGGTCCAAGGGATGAAATCTGGACGGTGCCGCGCCCCATGATGAAAGAGCGCTACATTCTCCACGCATTTTCTGGTCGCCGCCGTCAAGGAGACTTGCAGTTCTTCATGGAGGAGGCACAGCGTTTGCATGAGACCACGACACTCCACGTGATATCACTTGATATCATAGTGGACTCTGTCTGGGGCAACATCGCCCGACCAGAGATACGGGAATTTTGGCTCTCGGCGGCACGGAACCGCCAAGTGGTCGGCGCCTTCGCCGGACCGCCATGCGAAACGTGGTCGCAGGCCAGAGGACGCCATGTTTCTTCTGAAGCATCAGTCGAGCGACGAGCCCCGAGAGTGCTGAGGGAGATTGACGCTATCTGCATGGGGCAAGGCTTCTTTGGCAATTCGAGAGCTGCTCCAGCTTGATACGGGGAATCTTCTCTTGCTCTTCACCTTGGAGTTGCTTGTGAATCTTGCCATTGCTGGCGGAGTCGGCGGCCTTGAACACCCTGCTGCCCCTGCAGATGAAAGCAAGGCCAGCATTTGGCGGTTGCCTCTCATCGCCTACCTGCTGTCCTGGAAGGAGTTCAATCTCATCGAGCTTTCGCAAGGGCTGTGGGGGGCGCCTAGCAAGAAACCGACGAGCCTGCTCCTTTTGAACATGCCGGAGATGGTTGGCGCGCTGAGAGAGTGGCAAGTGACAAAGGAGGTCCCCCGCGGAACCTCTATAGGCCTCACCAAGGAGGGAGTCTGGGCCACCTGCGCCTTGAAAGAATACCCGCCTGCCCTTTGTGCAGGTCTGGCGGCGGGTTTTGTGAAGACGCTCCAGAACCATCCTGTTGATGCGTCCCTTGAGGTGAATCGCGATTTTCTGAGGCAAGCCCATGTAATGATTGTACATGAATATGGGCGTTGTGCAGGCCCAGACTATGCGAAGTAGCCTCTTGGTCATTTTCTTTCTAATTCAGGTTTTCACAGTGCAGACAGAATCCAAGCTTGGCCGCAGCTCACGCTTCATTGTGCCATGTGGAAAAATATGGGAAAATATGGGTTTTATCCATGCAACATAGGGATTTAGCCGTTCTGAATAATGGATAAATGGGTGATCTAATGGGTGTACAAACTAAGAATACCCTTTGATCTGTGGTCGTTTCACTTAGCACAGCGAAAGCTACCAGTTTCCAGATGCTTTACGTATGAAACATTGCCATTTTCCATGGCTACATTGGATACCCGAAGGTACCCTGCAAAAAATGTCTTAGATGCTTTTGCAAAATGTTGATGTACTTTTAATCAAAGGGTATTATCCAACCGGCGGATATTCTATCATTTCATTGGATTCTAATGAACAGTAGATTTTAGCCAATTAACATGAGGATTTATAATTAATATCAGTCTTTGTCTTGAAGCGGGGTATCTGGATAGGCATTTTGAATGGGGAACATCATACCATAGTAAGTTGTCAATATGTTCGTGGGCAAGCAACGTCTCCGAGTGTTGCCTATCAATAAGTGGCTCAACTCCGCATCATTGCTTAACATCAACATTTATTTTTTGGAATGATTCCCCTTCCTCCTGTCAAATCCTTTCGAATTCCTACTAATGCCCAGTTCGTATGACTAACATTTATACCCCCCCAGGTCTAGTATGAAGTCATTTTGACCTGAACATTCATATTCCATTAATAATTCATTAATTATGATACACTAAAACCACTAAAACATAATTCATAATCATCCATTAATCATCCATTAATCATCCATTAATCATCCATTAGTCATCCATTAATAATCCATTAATCATCCATTAGTCATCCATTAATCATCCATTAATCATCCATTAATCATCCATTAGTCATCCATTAATAATCCATTAATCATCCATTAGTCATCCATTAATCATCCATTAATCCTTATTTTTGATTCCCATCTCTAATCCTGAGTCGACTCCTTTTTTCGAAGGGGCCATTGATTCTCTCACCGCCGAGGCTTTCCGAACGCGCCTTCAGCAGCAACGGCGGAACGCCCAAGTTCGCGTTCGGGATGGAGCTCATGGGCTCCTGGGGTCGTCATGGTCGTCGATGACGGGAGAAAAAATTCGCGATGGAGACGAGCTGTTTTTCAGGGATGATTTAACTGTTGATTTCTAAGAATCAGAAACATATGTAGTAATGAATGTTGTTTTTTCAATCGGTGTGAAGCCTGGTGTCAAGCCTGGTGTCAATTCCAGGGATTCTGTTGGTTGTTGGTTCATAAACTTTCTTAATGTATGTGAATTTCAGGGAGGCCGCTGGTAGTTATATCTGAAGTTCTGCTACGTTATCATTTTAAGCCCAAAACACCAAGATTCAGCACGTAACTGAATCCCAGGGTCGCTGCGCAATGTAATTGATAAATGTCCATTATGCTGGAGCATCCGGCCAGGATTCGGTTGGTTCGAATAGGAACCACCACTGTTTTCTGGGTTTCAAACTTACCCATCATCTTCTATCTCAAAAGTAACTGGAATGCGTATCACGAACCAGCTGTCCTGGTCTTGGAAGCCATATGAAAGATAGGTGTCGACAAATTTTCAACCGGAGGGCTGGACTGCTCAAAACAAAATTGTTCTCCAAGTATTCCAGGTTGCTCAATTTCATCACTTTTTATGTTCTTCTGATCTTCATATATAGGATCCAAATACATCCCTTAAATTCCACCTTGGAGCTGTGTCGAACTTCCCCGGCTCGGCCCCACAATCCGCTAATCGTCGTGTGCCATCATTTGACAAGATGTTCGTGTTGAAATGCAATTTTCAGACACACCCACCATTTTGTTGATTAGAGTATATATCCCAGCAAGATCCATGAATCATGTCCAATCAAGCCCATTATCCCAATGAAATGGTTGGTTTAAACACCCAGTGTCAGATTGATGGAATGGTCTCTCCATAAAATCATATCCCCATAAACTGGTTGGTGTATACTGTATACCCCCGTGTTTCCAGCATTCATAAGGGCAATTCCTTATGCTTTACAATGCTTTTATCCTTTTGTGTCCCATATGAATCCAACGTGTGTTAGCTAAATTGCAGAAATAAATTCTCCATAAAATCACATGAAAACTATACCACATGTTCCATATCTAATCTCCCCATGTTTCCAATCCGTCCCTTAAATAGGAAACACGTCCGCTCGAAACCATGGTGGAGGGGATCATCTTAAGTTGGATCTTCTACAGCGTGAGGCCCCCGTTCGATAGCTAAGTTGGTGCAAATAACTCCAATAACTATGGCTTATGGTACTTATAACTATAGTTATTGGGGCTTATAAACCAACTTATCTATCTTGGGGGCCTCACATTGTAGTTCTTTATCCATCTTTATCCCACATCACTCGTTGGTGGTTGAGCCCTACCCCTCTGAAAAATATGAGTTCGTCAAATGGGATGATGACATTCCCAATAGATGGACAAATCCAAATGCTCCAAACCACCAACCAGACTAATATTGCCCATATGCTCCATGTAGGCAATATTTACCAACATTTGCCCTAAAAATCAACCAGTCATGTAGGTAAATAGTGGTAAATATACCAGCACCATGGAGCATTTCTGGGTTGGTTAGTTCTTGATCAAAATGGATGATAATGGTTGGTTAACATCACCATTGGGTGTTAAATATCCATATGAGATGGGTGTTAAATATCCAGTAAATTAACAGTTCGACCCTGGCAGATGAGGGTTGGAAGATTAGTGAAACCACTAAAAATTGGTCATTTTCAGGGTCCAACTGTTTATTTACCATAGGGCCATAGGGTAAATATCCATAGTTAACATCACCATTTTCCTTCGCCCTGGAGGTCACCTGACGTCACTCCTCCAACCGTGGACCCGGGGGCTCTAACCGACTCATGGCGCGCACCAGGGCGGGCGTTGGGACTTCCGGCTTGCTGAGGACCGGAGAATGGCTGGAAAAATGGCTGTCAAAATGGCTGGGAGTGGATTTTTGACGCGTTTTGTTTGTTGCTTCGTTGATGGAACGTGCCTGACGTATGATTTTTCGAGTCGTTTTTGCCAAACAGTGGTTTTGGAAGGTCTACACTCGGCAGTAGACATGGAGTTTCTATGGTCATGGGATGTCATGGGCCCATGGACTGTCTATGCCCTTATGGCTTTTTCGAGGCCCAACACGTGACGTTCAGCAAATGGGGTATCCAGTCTCTGCATCTCGAAGGGTACATGAAGGGCCGTAACATGGCACAATGCTCAGCGACACCTTGCGAACTCAGGCCGCCTGAGTTTCATTTTTCACATTTTCTCTATATATTCCTCATTATTCCTCATCTTTCCTGACAACTTGGCTACTTTGACGCTTGAAAAGCACCACACATCGGCAGCAAAGGCAGAATTCCTGAGTGATAAGTGCCAAATGTGCCAAACAAACACAACCCAGTCCCAGATCCATACGGGGAAATGTGGATCAAGCATGTCACCATGCAGTATCATTCAACCCCATTCGATGTCTATGTTCCTCATGTTGACCCATTTCGGAGTTTGGTCCCCCAAACCTGGTCCAGTTTTTGGATAACGGCATCTCACCCTGGTTTGACTCAGAATCTGCTGGGAAAATGGTGGAACGAGTGAGCCACCCCAAAGTCCTGCGATAGGAATACCTTGAGATACGTCTACTCTTTTTCGGAAATCACCAACTCGGCCAACTCCTGGTCCGTCCACCAAAGAAGCTGCAACGGGGCACAAGATGAGGAACAGCATCAGCACCGACAGAACCAGAAAGTTGGTTCGGGTGCTGGAACACCTGCACACTTTGGATTTGTGGTCCCGTGACATGGGGTCGGCATTGAAGGCACATATATTCGATTAATCAAAGCATGCACAAGCATATCAAAAGATATCAAAGCATGTATAATATCTCATCTCTGATCAATGTAATTCAATGTACTGAGGTAGGGTCTAGATAGCTAATGTAAAGTGAAGTCCTCTGACAAGCATTCCAATCACACATCCTGTGAAGCAACAAACCCTGTTTTGTTATGTGATGTTGTGTGTGTGTGTGTTGCATTTGTTGGTTTCAAACAATATGCTGGAAACATATGCTGGTTGGTGGTATACCTACCCCTCTGAAAACATATGCAAGTCAGTTGGGATGATTATTCTCAATATATGTCAAGTCATAAAAGCCATGTTCCAAACCACCAACCAGATATGTGTTGCTACAGTACCAACTCTACTGTACATGAATCCAAACCTGACTTGATGCATGGTGAACCGCTTAGATTACGCCGATTACGCCAAGGACCTACGCCCATGCAATGACTGGCTGACTGGCCACCGTGGAAACCCCCCCCCGGTACTTGCTATTCATCGCGATGTTGTACATCAACGGGTTATAACCTCGGCCAGCGCGGCACCATTCAGCGTGAGGTTTGGGAATCGGTAGGACTCGATGAGACAATTCTTCTCCTTTTGAGTCTATCGACTTCACTTGGTCTAGGAATTCCTTGGAGGAATGCCAAGCTCTAAGGGATCTCAGCAGCAGCTGCAGCAGCGGTTTTGTGTCACAGTCCATACTTGGGGGCACTTGACGATGAATGGTCATGATAGTTTCTTTGTAGATGCTCAGATCTCAAAACGAAGGTTCCTTTGGAATCACCAAAAAGATAGACACCTGAGGACACCCACCTGGACACCTGGGCATGGGTCAAACTTGACCCCAAAAATTGGATGGTGAATACTAAACCTCGACTTAAATCTGTGGTCCCCCAAACCATTCATTTTGACCCATACCTCTAAAAGACAAAGGAATCCTACACACCTAGAATTTCGTCGGCCCAACATCTTCGAACGGCCCAGGCGGCCCGGACCAAACTTCTCAGTGGTTGGAGCCAAACTATTCACCTCCCAAGTGGCGTTGGTTTGCACAGCAACCCCCAGCAATAACTTGGAAAGACGTGAAACGGCATCTATCGGGCGATTTCTATAGTTGATTTCAGCTTCTCAACATAGTACAGTTGACGGATATATCCCAAAATACAATTATGGAACCAAATGGCTATAATTGTCCATCTTTGAATCATTGACTATAGCTGAACATTGGCAAATTAAATTGATGGGCTACAAACTCTGGAGCCGAGTACTTCGGAGGCTCGGAGTATCCCAATATCAAATCCCCAGAAAGGACCAATGGATCCATGAGGACTGGTTGCTTAATATGTTGTTGGTTTGCTACATTTAAATATTATATATATATGTAAAGTTCACCTAACAACCAGCATGTTAGAAGTACGCGTTGGTTTCAACCTACACAAAAACATGTTTATTAAACGCGTTGGAGTACTGAAATAGTATTGAACAACCATCATGCTATTGGGGATGTTGTGACCAGGGAGTCGCTAGCGAAGCTACCTGGAATCTAGTTTTGACCATTACTTTCGGAGTTTAGAGCCATAAAATTGGGGGTTAACCGTCCAAAATGGATGTGATTTGGGTTCCAAGTCTATGATGGGCACCACATAGTAAAACCACACATATACAGTAAGATGAACATTTCATGGGTTCCTGCACTCATGAGTAGACTGGAACTATTGGTGGCCCAGTTCATTCTCAAAGTAGCGGCCACTTGCCTGATGAGCAGCAAATAGACAATGATGAATTTGTAAATGATCAGGTAGAACAGTAGAAAAATGTACATATATATGTATATACGTATATACTATGTGTATGTATAATGTCTATGTATATATATACATATGTGAATGTCTATATATATACACGTGTATATATATATATGCGTATGTATGTATATATAGATTTGTGTATGTATATATATATGTGTATATATATATGTTTACATGTATATGTATGTACATACTGTATATGATTATGTAGTAGTTTATATAATCTCCAAAAAAAGGTTTTTACAATGGGCATTCTTGCAGGAAGATGTCAAGGATATAGCAACAGGTTCTAGCCAACGGCCAAGGCACAAAATCTTCGCAGTGGAAGATCAAGGGCAAATCAAAGGAATACCTCGAAACAACAACGAGCTTTCATCTTTCTTAATGCTAGTTGTATGGAATGGTCCCCTGGTTTCCTCTCAGTTGGTTATAACATGTTATAACATGTTATAACTAGGTTGACTTTGGTTCGTCGCAAATGTATCTATACAATTCTGGGCAACTTGTCAACCTGAATCGGAATCCAAAGATCATGGCTATAGTCCCGATGAAATCTCGCCAAGACGTGGCTTTGCCAGGACCCCAAAGAACTTAAGCATATTTCCTCCAAACAGATTCTCCAAGATTCGTGGCTTTCCCATTGGGAAAATATGGGAAAATAAGCCAAACCATCGACAACCACAAATACAAGATACTTGGTTAACCAATGAAATGTCGATGAAAAAGGTATTTGCTAATGAAGGGTTAACCCATATTTAAAGATATTTAAAGGATATAAGGAACAACCATTCATCGACAACCATTGGGATACTTGGTTAACCTTCCCTTTGCTCAGATCCGACCTCTCCGAGCAGAGATTTTGTCCAGCCAACAATGGACGATTTTACCAGCAAAACATGTGATTTCATCCAAGAAAAACACATTTTCCCAGCAGAAATGCAGGAAATTCTCCCAAGTCAACTGGGGATCTCATCCATATTGGATTTAAGACATGAATATTGGATGATAAGATGATATCCAGTCCCATTAGGACATGCCCGGAAAAAATAGAGGCACCATACTTTTAAAGTACGACAATGAAGTAAATCATCACAAATGATTTTACCATCTGGTTATGACTAACATAGCCATGGAAAATCACCATGCTATTAAGTTCGGTAAACCATCTATTTCCATGGGCCATCGAAAAACCATGGCTATGTTAGTCATAACCAGAGGGTAGTTGGATTGTACGTTTCTATCTTTTGGGGATCGCAAATCACTCAGTGAATCACCAGCTGGGTCCCTCAGCATGCCAGCGTAGCACAACAACCGGAACCATAGCCATGTGTTGTAGGACTTCACCTGGAAGATGTGGAGACGTGATGACATGTGGATGACCAAAAAAACGCAAAAAACTGCTAGTAGCCTCTGGTAAACTAACAGAACTATGGAAAACCACCATTTTTTATAGGTAAATCAACTATAAATGGTCCATGTTCAATAGCTATGTTACTTTACCAGAGGGTAATGCAATAGTAAACCAGCCTTGTTTTGATGGTTTACACGACTCATGTAAAGTAAAATTGGAGTTATTAAGTTATTATGGCTTATTTACTATTGCTTTACTCACATTACACACAATATTACATGTATATCACTTATACCATTCTATACATGTATACCATCCCATTATATGCCGTGGGTCTTGTGAAATATCCCACCATCAAAAAAACGCCAGACACATCCATATTGCTGGACACCTTTCTTAGTTCTGAGAGCAGAGAACATTGCCATAAAGGATCTATAGGTCCGCAGGTATGGCTCACAAAACAAAAAAAACACTGTGGTATAGTCACAGGTTTTAGAGACTGGTGATGAATTATTGATGAATCTTAGCCTTGTCAAATTGGGCAATTGACGCTAGCCATTCTTCAAAGGCAATTGACGCTGCCATGCCTTGTCAAAAATTCCCGGCCATTTTTGATTTTTTTGAATAATCCAGGAATCCACCCAGGGCTCCCGGCCCAATCTCTCCTGCCGTACCAGCAGCCCATCGTGCCCAGCACGCCAAAGAAGAAGCCCGTATACTGCGGGTGAAGGCACGAAGGCACGGTGAACGTAACTTGGGTGTGGCCAACTCCCCAAACAGTTCACAAATGTTGAGACATCTAGTGGGTTGTGTGGAATCTGACTCGCCTCTGGTTTTTCTTGTGCGGACAATATATTATGTTTTATATAGGTAACAATCATCTATAAATGGACCTTTAAATTACCAGAGGGTGTAAGAAGATGTAAGAAGAGTATGGCTACAATCCGTCCGGCTATGTGTGTGTGTGTCTGTATATGTGTGATCATTGTATTTGAGTCTTTTTTGGGCAGTCAATGTTGGTGGTGGTGAATTAGAATACTCTACTCTATGGGCTTATCCCAAAATATGATACGCCCACAAATCCAATTCTGTATCATTGATCTAATCAACATTTACCGCATCAAAATTGCACACAAAATGGGGTGTATGCCAGTTCTGGACATACCCAATCACATAGCTGGGTTGTATCTTCCGGGATAATATTTGTTTTTTGGTCTTCCACTCCATTACATATTACCAACCATATCATATCTATGCGTTCCATGTTCAAAGCATGGTATATGAGGTCCCTGGTCATTCCCACCATGACAAGAATAAGATTCCTTATATTAATAATGGGTATGAATACCCTCATTGATGGGGGAATGAACCTACCCGAACTTATGGGAAAATATCCAACTGTTGACAGTGGCAGCATGTCAAATGATACTCCATTCAATCCCCATTATTTTCCCATATATCCTCAATGTCACCATTTATGGATAGTTTCTCCCTTTTCAAAGGGACAACACTATCATATCTATACAATCCCATCCCCCGTTCATACTTCTTCGTGGGACGGGATTATATTAAAACAACGCAATTTAGTTCGTTGATTTTCCCAGCCAACAAAAATCTCCGTAAAAATAGGGGGATCATATCCCATAGGATCCATGTATGCTATATATGGTGACATTTACCATCAATATACCCCAAATGTTAGCATATATACCATACATGGATCCTATGGGTATTGGTACACATGTCATCCCATTTCATCGCAGTTGATCCAACAGTTCGTTGATGTTCCCTTTAACACCTCCATTTCATACTGCGGATGGTTGCGAAATCCTGCATCATCGAACGGATGGTTGAAACCTAAATAATGGGATGTCTACCACCTATTATATAACAGTATTTTGCAGTTGATCCATGTTTATCCACCGATTAATCATGGGATAACCCTGCTGGATTTCGCAAGCATCCACAGAAACGCGGAAGGGATGATTTGATGATTTCGGTCAGCTCCTCGCCCAAGACGGTCGAAATCCGGCCGCCCACGCCCTGGGCGGCGCGCCGGCGTGGCATTCGTCCCCTGAACACAACCTTCATGCGGTCTCCAGGATTGGAACTTTGGGAACTTCGGTGATTACCCTGCCTGGTCAACATATAAAAAACTATGGAAAGATCCACCATGCTTCTAGCTGGGTAAATCCACTATTTCGACTGGGTCATTTTCAATAGCTATGTTAAATTACCAGAGGGTAAGATCAACCTTCAACCTGAGGCTGTTCAAAGTTTTCCACTCTAAAGAGGACAAGGCATGGTCATCAAGGGAAGAACTGCCACTGCCAGCTGCATTGCAAAATCATGATCCCAGATCCCATCTGATTTTTGTGAAGGTTGGAACGGATATTCTGCTGCTAAAATATATGCAAAAAAAACACAGAAACATCAATGTGCCGCGCCATTGTCCCAGTCTCATGTGCTGAATCTGTCGCGGCGTTAAACCGTGGACTTTGAACCCATCAAACATCATCCACAGCACTGTTCTACTCTTATAACGAATCCAACCTGGTGTGATGGATAACCCCCCTTGAAAATAACAATATGATTAAGATGCTGATACCATTTTGACGGATGGAACATGATGGAAACATGAATTATCACAGATAATCACCACCATATACTGGTTGGTGGTTTGAACCATCTTGAAAAATATTAGTCAATGGGAAGGATTATCACATATGTTATGGAAAATAAAAGCAATGTTTGAAACCACCAACCAGATTATATAATATTATATCTCGTGCATCTCGTGCTTATGGATGGTCAAATCATCCCTTTTGGAAACGGACAGTTTATCCCGCAAGCGGTTTAAGGCATCTGAACCGGGAGCCGGACGAAGCCACCAACACAGTTCCGGAAGAGGCTGTTGAATAAGCTGGCGGCAGCTGTTGCTGGCAAATTATAGCAGCATACAATTAGAAGAACAAAACATGACTCCATGTCGAATTCATGTATGAATAATAAATATATATTATATTATATAATGCCAACACCGGATTAATAAACCCCCCCCCCAGAAGGTAGGATGTACCTAGAAAATCACCCCTTAATAATAAGCAACTCTGAACCATAAAACTTTGGATATGGCTTACGTATGCTTACGTCAATTAGATCTTAATAGAATTCCATTGGATTTGTTAAAATTTCATGGATCAGAAAGGTGGTTGATTAATCAGGGGCAAACCATGGTTATTATTAATGGGGGACATGGGCTCATGGGGGGTACCCTTTGGGAGCTATCCAAACTGATGTTTTTTATAAATATTTTAATTAGAAATCGATCATTTGGGGAATAGTTGTTTTTTGAAATTTTCAATGATCAACTTAAACCTGAAGTATAACAATGATGATTAAAAAAAAGTAAAAAACAATTGGAAATAAATAGAATTGGAAATAAAAAATGTTGGATAAAAAAATGGATTTCCGAAGTGGTGGTTGATTAATCGGGGGTAGGCCCACCGGTTTATTAATCTGTGGGGACCACCTGTTTTTAAATTACATTTTTTTTTTGGGCAATGGTGGTTGATTAATCCGGGGGGATTATTAATCCTCACTTGACATTATATATTATATATATTATATATTATATATATTAATATATTATATATTATATATTATATATTATATATTATATAGAATGAGTAGGCACGTTCGAAACACTTCTCTACCTTCATGGTGCATTTTTTTTCCATGTCTGCGTCAAATTGCTCGAAGGATCTAGAAGGTACTACTTTACCAGTTTGACATCGTTTAACCGTTTACGAATTCCAAGGATCATCCAAACATATCAAACAGTAGACATCCAACGCCTGTTGTCGACGATGTACAGAATGGAAGTCAACGTCACGACGATGGCAGAGACCTGCGCTGCTTAGCCGAGCCATCTCTCAGATGGGGCTAGGGATCACAACATTGGAGTTCATAGACTGGATACTTTAACACTAGCAGTTAATACTTTAACACTGACATAGATTGGATGGTTTAACACTGGCCATTGCCATTTAGATTAGATTTAACATATGTCAAAATAAGTAAAACTAAGTATGCAATGTGAATTACTCACTTGGGTCTTAGTTGTTTGAACCAGCTGCACTTCTTTCCATGGGCAGCGGATCAGCGGCGAGATGAATGGATCGATGGTTCCGCACGGGAAAAAAACCGCGGCTCTGAAGACCATTACTGTGTCAGTTTCCCGCAGGGGTATCTCATTGTAAAAAAGCGTATAACCATGTATAACCATGAAATACCGGGTTATATCATGTTATTAACAGTTACCCTCTGGTTGTCTAACATAGCCATGGTATAGATGGCCCATAGAAATAGATGGTTTACCGAACTTAAACATGGTGATTTTCCTTGGCTATGTTAGTCATAACCAGATGGTATTACCGTTATAGTTTTAGCCACTCATAGGCCACTAATTAATAGGCCATCAACCCCGATCAACCCCAGCCGCGCGCAGTGGGTCTCCCGACGAAGACGCTCAATCTCACTGGAAGGCACAGGAACATCGTCCTGTCGGCCACCTGGACGTTCGACTCCGAGACGACCGGTCCCAAAATGACATCGGCACACTGAATTACTTGTGTGGAAGTGAAAAGGAAGAAGATCAAATCGCTACAGTATTATTGTGATATATATTGTAATATGTAATTATAGCTGGTATAGACTCTTCAATTTTGGTTTAGCAAGAACATCCTTATGAGGCTCCAATTCGTGGCTGTTTTGCTACGCCACATCCACCCATGACCGCCGCCTCGGGCGAGTACATTGTCTCGTTGGTACGTTCTCGAGTGAAAAAAGATACGAAACCTGCCAGGGTTGTGGAGGGAAAATCATCCGGAAAGACCTTCAGAAAAAGGTGATTCAATTGACAGGGGTCATTAAATGTCCCCATTGAACATCACCCAACCATTAGGTATATGGTCTATAATGGCTACTATAAGGTGATGTCCAATATTCCCAAAATGGGACAGTTACCAACCCCTGATTGATCACAAAGGGTAGGGGATAGGGTATCATGTGGTCTTCAACCTACCAAAACATGTTCTTTCATTGTTTTTTTTTTGAGCAAGGGAAAAGCTAGAGAACCATGTTGAACCATATGGACCATAGGTAAAGAATCACTCAACAGGCAGCCTGCATCCTTAAATAACATATGTCACTCGTCCATGGCATGCCGGTGCCTGACCAAGCCCGCCGGGAAAACCTTGGGCGTGGTGGCTTCCGCAAATGTTGCGAGGGAACAACAACTCCATCAATAGCTGGGAAAATAGTTTCAAGAACTTTCTAAGAACCCGCAAATTTAAAGCCATTGCTGTAGTGAAATGTAGTGACTATGAGAATCCATCCAAGTGTGCAATACGTACTTGATTTTGCCTATCAAGAGGATCTCCAAAGATGTTATCGACCTGCAACATGCTTCAACCCAGTGGATCGTTGACCACTGGCGCTTTAATTTTTTACGGTCGCAGGCATAAGGACCAGCTCCTTCCGTAAACAAAGAAGAACATCTAGTTTTTTTGCGCACTTCGTGGATATCTTCATTTTTGAAGAACACCATGGAATGGAAAACGACAGTTTAGTTTTTCTTTTTTTAGATGTCGTTTTCTATGTCTTTGGGTGGAAAATCACGACTTAATCAACAGCAAGTCACTGCGAGGCCGGTTCGGCGCGTCTCGCGCCGATTTGGGATACCGCTTTGAGCCATGAGGTGACGACATGTGAAGAATGCGAAGGGGGATCTGTGTAATCTACCCATAGCCTCGGTGTCATGTTTGCTTTAAGGATCTTTATAAACAAAGAGAAACTATATAGTTAGAAGAGATCTGTATGGGAAAGAGAAACTATAAGACTCATACACCCCCCAAAAAACGATCTGACCCAAATGTAGGTGTAAGATGGTGTAAACATAATGCATGGAGCATGTGGGTCATGTAGCTGGTATTGAAAGATCCAACACTTGTGGCAACTTGGGGCATCTCGAAACGCCCGAGACCAGTCAAAACACTTGAGGAGCAGGATCCGTTCACTCGCAACATAAAGCCCTACACTAGGGGCGTCCCATGTGAAACATATTTTTGCATTGTAGATATAAACAATATATCTTGTTTGAAGTCCTTATCGTCCCCCACAGGCAGAATAATACATAAATTGCCCGCAAAAACATGTAAAAATCTGGTCAGCTGTAGGGTACTCAAACTGCACCAAACCCTTTGGTCTGCAGGTAAAACCTATTTGTTGGCAGGTTAAATCCAATTTGTTGAACATTAATTTCCTGTTTCTTTCCAGCAGAAAATGACTTAAATCTCAAATTTTCCCTGGCCTGTCGCCAGACTTTGGCGCCCGCCTCCACCTGGCAATTTTCTGGATGTTTGACCCACATACCAAGGGCGACCAATTTTTTTATTATTGTGGATGTTTTTGATTCGGAACATGTTCTTCATCCAGTCCAGGATATTCCAAGTTTTTGAAGGAAAAAAAAATGTTTGGATTGTTGACCACTGCTCATCGATGAAATGATGGTTTCGTGCCTGCCAAAAAACAAGGTAACGTCGTCCGTTGCGGTCCCGCTGATTTTGCTTGTTTTGACAACAAGCATCTTGCTATTTCGTACAAAAATGCATGAATTCCCCGGGGCCGTATTGGACGACGCCAGCAAAAAGGAGCAAGCAAACATAAACAACAACCATCCAAAAACATCCAGAAGCCACTTATCAACATTCACCATTTGGTGTGCATTACTCTACCGCATCCCCCAAGAAGCAGTTCCCCCAAGAAGCAGTTCCCCCATGTGTCTTGGATTTTGCGATCCATTTTTCCCACC